TCCTTTGTCTGCAGGCGGGGGCTCGCCCAGCCGCGACGCGAGCGCCCCCTTGGAGCCTCGGGGCTGGGCACGGCCCCGCCGGGGACCCCGGCGTCCGGCCAAAGTCCCCCCCCTCCGGTCCCGGCCGGCCGTACTCGCTGTAGGGGCCTCCTGTGCCAGCTGATGGGGCTTTAACCCGCCACCTCCAGCTCGTTCCGGGTGGTGGCGGGACCGTGGCGGCCCTCTTACCCCAGGCCTGTGTCCCTGCCTTCGAGGCGTCTACACACCTTGGTCCCTCGCACACCTGCTGTCCCTAAAGGCCTCAATCAGAGAAGTAGAAACAAGAGTCCTTCGAGGGGACAGTAAGGGTGGACACCTTGAGGGCCCGAACTGGGATCCATGGGCCCACCTGTCCAGGAGATGGGGACACAAGCTGGGCCCATCATGGCACTGATGGGTACCCAGGACCCTCGTTTGGGCCGGGCCACTTCAGGGCGGCGCCCCCCCCCCTCCCGTTTAGTGGAAGCTGTCTTGCTGGAAAACGGGAAGGACTGCCCCTCCCCCACAACAGCTCCTCTTGGCAGGGCCCTGGATACTCACACAAACACACACACTATTCATGCTGATGGACCCCCCCCTCAAAAAAACCAACTACAATATTTAGGGCACAGAGTCCAGGAGGTGAGTGGTGTATGCCAGGAGCAGGCAGGGTCGGAGAACCAGAACTACCAGGCACTGGGAAGGCCCTACAGAGCCCAAAGCTTACAGCCCCTGGCACAGATGCCCCTGAGAATTCACAGACAGAATCTCAAGCCCTGTGGTCAGGTGGGACTGGACCCCCTCCCCTCAGGGAGTGACAACACCCACAAACAGGCACATAAGTGGTCTTCAGCCTTGCCCAGGGGCTGGACTGAACCGGTGAGCGGCAGAGCAGAGGCCACTGCCACTGGGTTCCTGGTAGAGAGACCAGAGGCTGTGAGCTGTGAGGGTTTTTTGTTTTTTTAATCTTTCTCTGTATACCACATTACAAATCTCCCAGGACATCTGTATTGTGACATCCATGTGTCACAATATTTTATCTTTGGTAAAATAAAGAAACTAATGAAGGCTTCCAAGGGGCCCCACGAACCCCTCGTACAAGGCTGACATCAACTAGTCCAGGGTCGGAAGGAGGCTGGCTTTGTTTTGTCCCTGGGTGGAGGCCACATGGGCCATGCTTGTTAGTGACCACCTGGCCCTCAGGGTCTCCTGAACAGTCTGGATGCCCAGGTTGCAGCTGTCCAGGATGGCAGGCAGGAGAAGGCTCATCCTACCCACAGCTCATGCCAAAAGCCGCTGAGGGCTTGAAGCTAGGATTTCCCCATGGTGCCGAACTACCATGCCCTGTCTTATGGGAGACACAGCACAGACACCCAGATAGGTTGTACAGGCCACCTAGCTGGGAACTGGCCTGGATGGGATCTACTCCCTGCCCCAGGTGCTCTCTGCCTCAGCACAGGGAGGTGACCCTGCAAGTCTTCAGCAGATCCATGGAGGATAACATCAGCAGACTTGTTAACCGTACTGGTTCCAGGAGTGGGGTTGAGTTCCCCCACCTGAGCTGAGGGAAGATGCTGGGAACTGGGGCTGGAACACCACCCTCCAGACCCCAAGGGGCCTGTAAGCAAGCAAACATCTGTCTAAGTACAACATTCACATTCTACTTCTGTAATTAAAAATACAACCAAGGGAAAAAGAAACAAAAGAAGGGGATTTGTACTGTGTTGCTGCAAGGGGGGGTGTGGTTTGCGCCTGAGCTCAGCAGGGCAGGTTTCCTGAGCTGAGCTCCTGGGGAACTAAGGGGTAGAGAGGGCGCCATGAGCTCTGGGATCCCTGGTGAGCAGGGTGATGTTTATCTCCTGCAGTCCTCTCCCATCCCCTTGGGCAGTGTGCACACACATTGCCTCTTAGCTTTCCTGAAGGACCACATGTCCAGGTCCGGAGACCGGTTTCTGCCACAGATTGTTGGCAGAAGTGCTGTGTGCCCATTTACAGGAAGGCCCGCCCTGAGCTGTCTTTCTGTGCACTGGCCAGATAGGAACCAGGGAGTAGTGGTGAGGCTTTGCAGCGCCCTAAGGAGACAAGAGCAGATGCACCAGCGACCAGGCACGTGATTCCGGTAGAAAATAAACTTTGCAGGATGGGGTGTGACTGGGTGGTAAAGCACTTACTTGCCCAGCATGTGCAAGGGCTCCAGGTTCATCCCCAGCAGTGGAAAATATAAACTTTGTGTCCTAAGTCGCTAAAAGTTTGGGGCTGACTCCTGCTAGAACAGTCAGCAAGCGCACATGTTCAGGAAGGGAAAGTGACTGGCAGGATTAAAGCCTGGCTTTCCCTCCTGCGCGGACAAAGCCGAGTTTACCCACACCATCCTGCTCCTCTTGGAGAGCTGCTTGCTGGCCTCCAAGGCAGGAAGAATCCGGGGAAGCGCAGATCTCGCCCCAGCTCTCCAGGACTTCGATTCTTAAGGAGACTGGAGCAGTTAAGCCAGCTCAGTGCCAGGGTCCCCCTGGGGACTGTTCGGCCACACCCTCATCACTGGTTTCTCTCTTGTGAGGTGCCCAGTTTACCCCTCCTGGAACTCGCGGGCCCCAGGGAAAGTACGGTGCTCGGGGTCTCCCAGCCCTGAGCCTGTCTTTGGCCTCCTGCTGCCCCCTGGTGGCCAATCGGGCCGACTGGGGCAGCACCACACCCCCAGGCCGCCCCACGCCTCCCTTTCCTGTAGAGACTGCCTGCGTGGATGGCTGTCCTGCGCCTATCTACCCCTGACCCAGAGCTCCGGGTTCTGGGCCCCTCCCCGGGGTGACCAAGCTTAGGGTTCCGACTTGCCTCCCCTCTAGTCCTTAGTCAAACCTGCCTCCAGCTGCCTCCCTTGATTCTAAGACCCTGAGCTGTCTTTTCAGATAAATTAAAGCCTTGAAGAACTTTCCATGGAGCCACGGGCCACATGTCACCCATCCATCATGGAAGGTGGGGAATGCAGGCCCAGGGTCAGGACAAGAAGGAGAAGCCCCAGGGCTGGGTGACACACTTTGTTGCTTCTGGAGGCCCCTGGAGGGCCATGGACAGAGGGCAATCTCCCCAGTTCTTCTGGGGGGCTCGGCATTGCGGGAGGGGGGGTGTCCAGTTGCCTGCCTGCCTTCCAGCAGTCCAAAAGATGAAGATTCGGAGCTCTGCCCTGCCGCGACTTCAGGCCCCTTTGATTCTTTAATCAACACCTTGGAGAGCGAGGACAGGAAACAGACAAAGGCTCGGAAAGGTCCCGCATCCCGCCTAAGATCACCGAGCAAGCAGCGGCAACACCCGCCCCTCTCTGGCCTCAGTCGGAACCAGCACATGGACCAGGCCCTGGATGGAGTCTGAGCCCGCTCTGCCTGCGACGGCGGGAGCCCTGGGAAGCCCGGGGTTCCCCAGGCCTGCAGCTCCCGCCCTGTTCGTTGGGCTGGAGGCCCCGAGGGGTGTGCGCCGTTACAGTTCGACCAGCCGCCCCCAGCAGCAGGCTGCGCCCTACGCGCACTTGGCGGGGCCCCAGGCGGGCGCAGCGCGGAACCCCCCCCCCCAACACCACCACCGCCACCACCACCACCAGTTCCCGCGCTCGGCTCGCCCCGCCTCCGGGACCGGCTGTTCTTGGGGCCGCTGCCAGACACGTCCTCCGCAGGTGCCGGCCTCCCTCCGGTGACGCGGCCACAAGCGGCCCAGGCTCCGATTACAGGGCCTGCCTTGTACTCGGGGTCCGGGCCGGGGGTCCTCACTCCCCAGGAATGGGTGGGAGGGGCTGGGCCCTGCAGAGGGAGAGGACGAACAAGGAACAGCGTGGGCAGAAGCCGCTCCCATACACGTGCAGCGGCCGCCTCGGGCAGGATGGAGGCGGCGGGGAGGGGGCCGTGCGCTGGGGCAGAGACGGGGGCTCTTCTCCACGTTGCAAAGACTTGACTGGGCCCGAGACCCAGAGTCCCGGAAAATCAAAACCGCTAAGCACTCCAGGCTCTTGCCCCTCTTAGGGACGAGGTGGTCTAAAGGGACTGGTGGAGCCCGAAGTCAAACACCCTCCCCCGCCAAGCCCCCAGACTTCCCTCTTCCCACTGTGTGCAGTACCTGGTCACCGGTCTAGCCGGCTGCTTTGCCAAGGAAAGGATGAAGCAAAGTAGATCTGGTGCTAGTGAACCCTTTCCCCAAGCCCCCTTCTTGATGGAGTTAAGTGGAGACTCCTGTCCATGGGTGCACCAGGGACCTTAGGCCCCTCGGACCCACTTACCTTCCACCGTGCTTCCAGTACCTACTGTGTTGAGAGGAGATGGTGATCTGGAAAAAAAAAAAAAAAAAAAACAGGGACAGAGGGACAGAGAGAAGGGTACGGACCGTAAGCCTTCCTCTACTGCAGGGAGGAGTGACACACACACACATTCAGAAGACCTCCAGACAGGACCTCAGAGGGGAAGGGGGCTTTTTTTACTTTGATTTTTTTTTTAATGTTTTTAATTCGGAGACAGTCTTATATGGACCAGACTGGCCTCAAACTCAACATGTAGCCAAGGATGACTCTGTACTGCTGATGCTTCTGCCTTCTCCTCAGTCCTGGGATTAGAGGCATGAGCCACCATGACTAGTTTATGTAGTGCTAAGGATGGAACGCAGAGCCTCGTGCATGCTAGGCGAGCACTCTACCATCTGAGCTACATCCTCAGACCACACGACATTAGTT